AAACAAAATAGGAAAAGTGAAAGCATTTTATATATATATAAAGCAAATTTATATATATAAACAGACTACCAAAAACAGTTAGTAAAAGCAAACAGATTTCATCATGACACACGGAAGGAATCAAAGCTATAATATTCTGTCCCCCCACTGCTGTGTAACTCATTATCAGCAACAGGATTTAGGAAATAAAATAAGGGAGATTACAGCTTCTTGGCGTATCCAGCAGAGCTGCCAATCTTATTCTAATATCTTTCTCCACTGGAATTTGTGTCTTGCCAGATCAACCAGTAGGAATACTTTAGCAGACTCTTCCTATCCTTTCCCCAGCACACTGTCTTTTATATTTTGAGCATCTTCAAAAGTAAAAAAACCCCAAACAACCCAGCCTCCTTCAAAAACAAAGAATACTTAATGTAGTCTTCTCCAGAAACCATTTCAAACTGATTTCCAGAAGGTCAGGAAAATTAAAAGGCTGTTATACTTGTACTGAAGAGTACTAAAATAAAAGATTTAAAAAATACATTAGTAATGTGCTTGTTTGTGTTGCACTTAGAATGTAGTATTTTAATCAGATGTGTTAGACATTGCATGAATTTCCATACTAGAATCCATAGCTTCAGAAGCTGAAGCATCATTATCTACTTTCTGTTCCACAAATGCTTCTGTTCTGTCTGGAGACTCTACCCTGTTTCTTACTTCTGTTACCCCAGGGTGATTTTTTCGCAAATGCTGGTTTAGTGTACCCTGGAAAGGAAAACATTTTCCACAGATCTCACAGCGAAAGGGCTTGTCATCTGTGTGACCACGAATATGATATTCAAGTTGGTCCTTGCGGGTATATTTCTTCCCACAAAACTTGCACACGAAAGGAGTTATTCCCATGTGCAATCGCATGTGTCGATCAAGGCTCCCTTTCTGGTTGAAAGACTTTCCACAGTAAATACAAATTAGCCTCTCACTGTATGGATACCAATGACCTCTTGCATTTCTTTCCCGTGGACTATTTTCATATCCTGGGTTACTCACCATGGATTCACTGTCAGCCCCTTGCACCAAGCCCTGAACATCACTATGCAAGTGACCAGTGGATACCCGTTTTTGGCGTGCACGACCCCCTCTGAAACAGCTCAGCATTGACCTTGAAGGACTCGTATTGCTCAGGCTTCCGAAGGTTTCAGACACACCTGTAGCCTGTGATGAGGCATGGGTAAACGAATAAACATGTTGTAAGACAGACCCATATGAACCAACATTTACTGCCACCACTTGCTCTCCATCCACCATTTCAGTATGATATCCATCATCACCAAGGGAAGAGCTATCAGAGCAGCTTGGCCTGTCAGACTTTTCCATTTTAACTTTCACCTCTGCAATCTGGCTTTCCCTTACTATCAGGTCTCCTTGCTCATGATCACCTTCAATCTGGATCTCATATTCAGAGATACTCCCACTGCTTCCTCGATCTGAATGCCCTTCTTCTTGCAGACGACTACGTAGATTTTTGCCTGGAGTAGTTTCCATCCTAAGATCGCTGCCTGCTGTTGACTGTCGCACCTGAGAGCAATAGGGGGGAGATACCTCAATAGGATTGGCAAAGTAGCTGCTGTCTTTAACTCCATTGCGATTTTCTGAATTTTCTTCAGCACCAACAGTGACAGAGTCAACATCACCAACACTGATCTTTGAATGAATACTCTCCAGTATCTGTGTGCATTTATCAATGACGCACTGCATCTGTAGAAAGCTAGCTGCAGTTAGAAAACTAACAACATCCTTCAGCTGTAAGGACATCCTTCCAGTGTAACAAAAAGAAAGCAACTGTTCAAAAACATTGGGATTTTTAATAACTGATATTGATAAGCCACTCATGGTGCTTAATGCTGAATGGTCACGGAAATACGGAGAACTGGCAGCTAAGACAGCTTTATGGGCTCGAAATGGCTGACCCTGAATATGCACAATTATGTCACATAGCTTTCCTTGCAAGCGGAGTTCATTTAACTGGCTTAGAACAGTGTTGCTGTACTCGGGCACATCAAACTGAATGAAACTGCTGCTGTCCATTTCTACTGATGTAAAGAGTAATCTGAAAGAAAAATGAGAAGATTTACAACTGAGAATGAATACAAAGTTTTCCATTTCAAAAATAAATGCTTGCACATGTTGAAGTTAAATCACCACATTGATCTGTTTAAGGTGTGTTACAACAAAACAGTTGGTATAAATACTTGATATAATACAAAAAGTGGAGTCTTAATCTACCCATTTCTTGCATTTCTGTAATTTGAATTATCCATCTGGAACATTCACAATTCAATTGCTCATAATACATCACAGGTTCCCTGGGACAGTCTATGTCCTAAAAGGAACTTCGCAATTTCACTCCCTGGTAAGAACTGCAGAACAATACCCCCACCCTCCCCCCAAAATATTAATTTTATAGTCACTAGGCAAGTTAAAAGCTTCAGAACCTTTAGTAGGTCTTCAAGCCAGATACTACATCGATACTTGCAGGGAACTGCACTGTTAAATTGCCCAAGAATTATTTTTGGAAGGTACTTCATGAAATTTGAAAAACCCGCTAAAGAAAAGCCACATGCGCGTATGTGTGTGTGTGCATACACACACACACAAAAATATATAAAAAAAACCATTCCTTACGTCTAGATATGTCAAATTTATTTCAGAGGAGATGAATATACTGCACCGGTGACATTTCTGTTTAAACATTTAGCTTCTTAGAAAATAATCTCAATAATTATTTAAAAGAAGTAAAAATCAATCTTTCAATATTCACATCACAAAACAAGGAAAACCTAGTGAAAGGAAACATTTAAGTGTGGACTCAATTCCAAACTATTTACCCAGTGTGTCACAGGTTCCCAGATAATAATGGATTTGTGTCAACATTTGAGGCAGCATTTGAAGGAAAAGTGTTTGAGCCACCCATGGACTTTCAATTTTTTTTTTAATTTCCTTTTGTGCTTTTAATTTTTTTTTTAATAAACCATAATGTGAACTTTGAAGCTCACCTGATGCAGCAGTGATTTCCTAGCTAGAATGATTTGACATTTAAATTCTAACCTAATGCAAAGCCATGGGTACTCAAACTTGCCTGATACACTGGGAAAGGATGTTCCAAGAGGCTTTAGAGAAAAGTATACATTTCAAAACAAGATCTAAAGAAAAGCACTTTACCAATTTTTCATAGAGTATTATAAAAAGCACACACACACTTGTCCCCTTGTGAGTGTCTATCTGTAGCAGCCATCACCTTACATTTCCAAGACTGGGCCCCTAATCAAGTGCCCAAGAATCTTCAGACTTTTATTGCTATTCTTGTTCTTATTAATGCAGAAGTCTAAACATATAATATTGCCACCATACCTGCTTTTCCAATTGAACAAACAGATCTCAACATCATCCATTGACTTCTGATGCAGGAAGCATGTCCAATGTATCACAACATACTAGTGGATTTTTTTTTTCTATTTATGTCTTATGTTACATGCTGTAATGGGACATATGAACAATTTGAATCAAATTATGAAAATTCAGGCACTCTAGAAACAAAATCAACAGATAGGAATATGATAAAAAGCCTACAAGGAAGAACTGGAGCTATATCAGCTGACTGTCACTTAAAACTAACATTCATTCACAAATGGAGCTTCTTTCCAGCAGAGAAACAAGACAGACAGCTTCCTGACTTGACTAACATTAGGTCTGATTTAGAAAACGGTCAAAAACTCTCACAGAGCATTCAGAATCAGGTTATCAGAATTGCTAAACATGTTCTGTAAGTTACCAATGTGTCATAGATTAAAATGGGTAAACCAGACTTCATTTGAGTTTTTACAGTTGTTATGTAAAAGCAGGGGAAAAGACGTTTTATATGCTCGTATCTGATGAGGGAAATAAGGACTAAAAGGTGATTAACAGAAGTGATATGATCGCAGCCACCTGTAGAAAGATTGCTTTGGCAGGACATTTCTTCTACTCAGTGAACAAAGCTACAAAATGATTCAGAACCTGTGAGCTGATGCAAGTCAGACATAGGTCAGAAATCAAACATTACAACAAACAAACAAAACCCAAACAGTGGCGTACTTAAATGGCAAGATTCACCTTGTTATTCTGAGCATCCCTGCATGTTGTGCAGAGAACCACTGTTCAAGTCCCTAGCAGTTGCATCCACTCCATTGGGAAGACAGAAGTCTCAGCAGTTAGGATACATGTTTGTCAACTTCCCTCTCATTTGACAGGGCAGCAGGCTTCCTTACAAACCCAACATAGGTCACTGCCTTGAATTTGTGGGGCTTATGACTTATGTACAGATGCAACAGCAGGACATTCCTGATCAAGCTTCTCTTTGCTAAGTGGAGGAAGAGCTTTTGTTGACCTGAAGTGACATGAATTGACAAGTTACCTAGGTTAAGGACTGCATACAAACTATAAGACCAGTCCCCAGCAGTGATAATTTGTCATTCCTGCATCATTTCAGATCCTTGAGCTAAGGAACCAGATCTTGGTCAAGCCTCACTCAAATCCCATCAGAAATTACTCCTTTTTTTGCGTCTAGAATGTACAGAAAGTTTGTCATATATAGAAAGTGGCCTTCCTCCTTGTCCCATACTTCCCTAAGGGCTCTTATTCAGCGAAATGGAGAACAACTTAGTCCTAGACAAAATATTAAAATATAAACTGTCACCACTAGCACTAGTCCAGACAGAAGGAACGGATTAAGGATAGGCACCTGAGTAGAAAGAAGATGGACATTTTATGCCTTACCATGGAGAAAAAAAAATTACGTTCTTTTGGTCATGGCATCTTAGCATCTCTGGATGAATTCATACTCCCTAGGACATGGCCACACATTAAAAATGGACTGTGAACACAGACCAGAGAAAGCATGAGAACCAGGAAGAGAGGGACACCAAGAAGAAAGGGATCCTCAGCGATCCTTGCATATCACAACTCTGTTAGAACATCTAATTATCTCCATAGGCATATATATCTAGAAGCAATTCTACATCCTTGTTCTCAGAGTTGTTGCATCTTTCTTTTGGGAAACAAAGAAGCTTATTTTCCTCAAAATGTTAGGAGTAAACAGCACAAATCATGGTAGCGAGTGGAGAGGATGATGGAGTTAAAGGTCTGTAAGTCTGGCTGTCAGTGTAGCAGATAAGCAGTAAAAACCAGAAATAGGGATCAAGGGAACATACAGTATTGCTTTGAAAGCAAACAAACAGATCAAGTACACAAAACACAGCCCAAAAAGCAGTGGACAACCAGTTTCTATACCCATCTGCTCTTAAAAAAGAAAGTGAACAAGCCACAGCATGGAGTTGTTATGACTACTTTTCCACCTTAGTTTCTTCCTTTCAAGATGCATGCTTCCTGTGATCTTGAAAACATCTGTAGAAAGCTGGGGTTAAATAACAAGAATTTTGAACAACAGCAGCACTTGACAGAAGGGAACCCGTCTTTCACTTTCAGCCAAACTCTGAAATCTCTAGTTGAAGAGGTCCTGGAACTGATGAGGTTGCCAATGAACACCACATTCAGCAATAGGCAGGACCATAGCAGGAACAGCACTGAGACTGCAGTAATTTTGCTGAGGCTAGTACCACGGCACCCCAACTTTCTTGCATCGATTTGGGAAGGTAAGACCCGGGAAAAAATCTGGGGATTACACACATCAGAGAAGCAGGCACCACTAGCAATGTTTTATTGATGAATAATGGTTAAAAGAAGAATTATCTTATTTATTCACATAAATCCCCAATGTCATTATCTAGAAAATAAAAGTAATCTTTAGATTATATTCCCATACACAAGAAGGTTTTATTTTATTTGTATACAGAATGAAGTTAGCAGTTCCATAATCAAATCCCAGTAGAATTAACCAAAATATTGTTCAGCAGGGTACTGTACCATAACAATACTCAATTATTCATCAATGCTGGCAGGCCAGTAGCGCTTTCGAGACAATATGATTTATGGCTGAAGTATTTCTGAAACAGTCCTGGAAGATCACTACAGTTTGAAAAGGCTAATAAGAACCCCCCAATTTTTTAACAGCTTCCTCCAAGTTGAAATGTCTCCCTAACCTCTTCTCTTCTGGGGTGAGGCAAGTAGCATAAAACTGAAGCAGAAAGGTACTCTAAAATGCAAAGTAACTTTGGACACATCCACTGTATGCTCTAAAGAAAAAAAGTTATCTCTACAGTTAACCAGACAGTCATAAGGAAGCTTTGCTTCCCAAAGCAATGAGAATATAACTACTTTAATTCACATAACAATTCTTTATAGAATTACCAAAGGTGAAGAAAAAAAAAATATTAATGTGTAGTCAGAAGTCATGTCCAGTACCCTCCGTGATATTTCAGCACATACGGAGATAACTTGTATTCTTTAGGTCCAAGAGCACAATACAGTAGTTCAGAACGAAGACAATTTTATTTGTATTATACAAACTCAAGCATTTGGGGGGTAGCGAGAACTAAGACAACTCATAGCAATGTTAGGTACTCTCATTGTAAAAAAGTAATGCATTTTGTCTTGCTTTAGCTTCCACCCCTGACTGTGGGATAGTGTAATGTTAGGTTAAAGTCCTGTAAAATTTTAAGTCCACCTCTGGGCACCTGTCTATAAATAGGTCCTCTCTTAACCTTCCTGCATAAGTAGATCAAAGTGTTTAAGGTTTTCATAGATATTATGTATCCAAGAAATTGGCTGAAGGCTTTCTAGTTTTAAAGCACAAGCCAGAACTGGACACTAAGTTCACTAAGTCCTAGCAGCGCTCTGTGTTGAGCTGCCTGTCTATTTCTGTAGGAGATGATCCAGTCACACTCAAAAGAATCATATCAATTCTCTGTGTCTGCATTACATTTATTCATCAGGGTCTTATACAGCAAATGTAGGCCATAGTATGAATTTAGTAGTAGTGGATCGCTTCCCTATGTCTTCAGACAAAAGTGTTCATTGAAGTAACCTGTGAATATGAGAGTGATATGCATTTAACGTTTCTCATTAGATTTCAAAAGAAACTTACTTTAAAAATTGTTTTATGAAAGCTCTTATTTAACTTAAAAAAACAAGAATAGATGGTGACAAAACACATTCAGTATTTAATTTTACTGACATCATACAGTAGCAGCAGGGAAGCATCATATAACTACAACACGAAGCTGTGTGTCTGCCAACGTCGTATTAGTTTCTGCTTCTAAGTCTGCACCTGTTTAATTTCATTCACTCACTGATGTATGATTCACCATTCTCATAGACATGTGAATGATACAAATTATTCTCATTTTAACTCACACAAAGGTGTGAAAAAAGATCCCTTGCATTTTCTTTAGTTAGCTCAGCAACATGGGTTCCTTGGGAAAAAACACGTTACAAATCATTACTGTTGTAGCATGTGTCTGAAAACAGAAATACATAGAAAAGTTAAGAAGATCATAATGAAAATTAAAACTAAAACAAAAAAAGTGCTCCATGACACCAAGAATGGATACTCCATACATCACTGCTCGGAATACAGAGAAAAAACATGAAAAGAAACAGGTATTTGTATAAATCAGTACACTCCTCCCTTGCATTTTGTAGGATTCCGTATTTACTATACCATCTGTGAGAACTTAAGACATCATTGCAAAACCATATCATCATTCAAGAGAATTTTAATCTAGGAATGTAACCCTGTCAGCTGTGGTCACGGAAGTTTTAGGGCAAAAATCTTCATCACTCTCACTCCTTTCAGTTTACATTTGCCTTAGTCTTCAGATTACAGCAGCGACAATAATTAATGCTAGCTCTACCAAAGAAAAACTGCAATCAGATATGTCACAGTCTAGGGGCATTTCTAAGACAGTCCTCTTTAAATAATCTTTGAGAACAGGGAAGAAACTGATCATATAATCTTTTACCAGTTTATACCTCTTGTAACAGTGAAGTATTATATTCTCTTTTAAAAGTCAACAAATAGTGCCCTTGGATGGCCTTATGTAGCGTGACACACAGCACTGCTCCTTCACTGAAAATCTGGCCCCTGAAGTATGGTAAGCTTCCCTACAGCTAGAAAACAGATTCTAGTATCGCAGTCATTTTAAAAAAACAGAAGAAAAAAAAAATAAGCTACTCCCCCAACAATTGAGATAATTTTGTGCAGAACTACAACACACTTATAATAATATAAGCAGTACTATGTAAATATGTAGCATTGTTTTTTGCATCAATTCTTCCTAAATTCAAGCAGCCATTTTCTTAAAAATTCTCCAGCCTTTAAAGATCATGAAGGAGACTAAATTATTTTATATTTATCTCAAGTGAGATAATCAGATACTACTGTTTTTTAAAGATTTAAAAATCAATTACACTAAAGCTTTTTCCAGAAACACACACAATAAATAACAAAAATAGAGCCTTGTGTATTTTCAGCTCATCCATGCAGTCTATTTTGTGGTCTCTACAACACACTGCCAGAGGCATCCTCCTGGTGACAGAAAATATACCTAATGACACACTTCTCCATGTAATTTATGCACTAAAATCACAGACATACATAGACATATACGTTTATAAATTTAAAAAAACTCCTTTAAACCATAGAAAGGATGACTGGGGGAATGTTTCCACTTGATACTTAAGGGAGTGCTTGGAGCTTAATGGAAGGGATATATAAAATAAGACTTTGTGCACTAACTAGATTTTTCTAAACTTTGACTGCACTACACAGAACTAACATTTA